ACTCCTGGATGTGTCTTCTCTCCAGTCTTCAAATTTTTCCATTTTTTGACCAGCCATTTCTTCACTTCATGGATACAGTTTGCAATCATTTTGGCCTCGCTTTGCTGCAGCCTTTTGCAGGCTCCAAAAAATATTTCTTTCACCTGAGTCTTTTTCAAATCTCTTTTCAGGAAGACACTTAAAAAGATTCTGTGCCTTACACAGGCTTGCTCAGGGTCAGCACTCCAGCTTTGGGGGTCACAAGTCTCCAGGTGTGCCCTCACAATAGCAATCTCTTTCTGGTAAGTGCCTTGCTCAGGCTCCACAGGCAAAACTGCTGCCATGGCAATGGAATGAAGAAAGCTGTGCTTTGCTTGCTTTGCTGGCTTTAGCATATTGTACATACAGTATATCCAAGAAGAGCTTCTTGGAATCCAAGAAGTGCTTCTGAGAAGTGCTTCTTTGACCTTCAAAGCAGTGCTTCTTGCTTTTTTGCATGCAAAAAGCTGGAAGCTAGTTTTCAAAGCTGCTAGAGCATCAAGAACCTTCAAAGAAGCTAGGTTTTTGATCTGCTAGGCAAGAACCCTTGTTTCTCAAACCTAACTTCCAACATGTTCAGAAGCCACAAAACTCAGCTACCAGCCACTTTCTAAAGCTTACAGGATCTTCAGGGTATAGTAATACAATACATACATAGTTACACGATACATAAGTACCAGTATCAGTATATATTTACTGTATATGTTAGTAGCGCGCACTACCCAGCAATCCTTTTCAACGACCGTGAGCAGCAAACAGCATAGCCTTCCTGGACATCCCCCGTAAATTGCAAATCGAGCACATTGGCGGCCACATTGGCATTGGCAATGTTGGCAACAAATTGATAATATCAATCAGTCAAATCAGTATTGTTGACTCCCAGGGACCAAGGGATTTAATTTCAAGTCCGTTCAACTGTCCGGAGTCAGCAGTACACAGAGAAGACGGTAGAAGAAAAGGAAGACTTGGATTCTGAAAATTTGACCATACTAATGGCACGATGAACTAAGTCATTGTCACTTGCTGGACAGTAGCCCACAAACATATTCACTTGTTTACTTGCTGCCATACAACTTTTGACTTTTTACTGTTTGATTATTGTAAATTGCTACCACTGTTGTACCAGTTTCAAATTGTTTCCTTGTGCTGTTGCCACCTTGTTGTCTCTTTACAGTGCGCTTTGCTCATTACTTTTGAAATTCCCTGCAGGTCCTTGTGGAGCCAGGTGTTGTCAGCGTTCAGGGAGACAGCAGCGACTGCTTTGACAGTCAAGGCTGCGGACAACATTGTGGCCCTTGTTGAGAATTTGAGGAAGGTTGATCCTGCAACCTTGGGGACGGCGCCAGCCGACATTGAGAAGCTCAAGAAGGACGTGGGTTCCCTAGCTTCCATGCGGGACCTGACCAAGCAGCTCGCAGCTGCGAAGGCAAGTGTGCCAGGTGCAGAGCAAGCGCTTGAGAAGCTCATCAGGGCTCGCAATGATTTGCTCAGCTGGATGGACACTTTGTGCCCGGAATTCACCAAGACATTGGAGGAAATTCAGGCGTGGGCTGATGCCATCATTCCAAAGGGCATTGAGGGCAAAGACTGCAAAGCTGCTGCCGATGCCTGCCCGACGGAGAGCTTGAAGCTGCCACAGTGCGCTGGCGTTCAATTCTGGCTTCGTAGTGACTTGGCTGCACTAGTTCTGGTGTTGACTCTCAGACACCGCGGCTGTGGCTGTTTGTGTATTTGCACCAAAGCCTCACTCTTGTAGCGTTCGGGTTGCGTTATGTTAAGTTGTGTTGTGTTGCTATGTTCAATCATGGCAATGGCCATGGTCACATGATTTTATATACTGTTATATACTGTTGATCTATTGGTATTTTGGCATATTTGAAATGGCTGCAGTTTACATTGATGTAATTTGTGATTCTTTGAGTGGAGCACCAAGAGAAATAACGGCAAACAACTGCATGGGGTTCAGGACCATGGCCTGTTTGTCTATCGTCTATCGTCTAATTTTTCTATATCCCAAGTCCAGTCGATCTTATTATGATATTATTAGTCATCAGTCATCAGTCTATATTTAAGAAAGTTATATGGTTCTATAAGTCTACGGTCCATTGGTCTATTCTTAGTTAAGTCTGCCAGTGACTATACTACAGTATCAGTATAAGTTCTAAGTCTATGATAGTCTATGACTCTATGTCTATGATTGTCTATGAGTCATGAGTCTACAGCCTATGTCTATGTTTTACAGCTTATGTCTATAACTACAGCTGCAACAAATATAGATTAATATATAGTCAGTAAGTCTAAAGTCTGGCAAGCAATATTCAGAAAAATTGATCGTGACTATGCATCAGTAGATCAACAATTTGGCTATTCACAATTCAGTGACATTGGCATTGACATGACATATCATATAATTATCACATTTCACATTACCACATAACTACATCAAAAAGCAGATTCGTCGATTTGATTGAATGCAGCAGTTCTGTTTGTGTTGTAGTGTGCCCCCAGGCTTGATCCATGGCACTGTTGGCGATGAGTCGGACATTGCAGGCTCCTATGTTGGCCACCATTTGGCAAACTTTGCATCCTTCTTCATCCTTTCCAGTGAGTCCAAGGAAGATACATCTTCTGCTGTTGTCCCTGCCCAACAAGACCTGGGCCCAAAGACTATTCCAGCAGAGATTGAGCTCTTTCGGAGGGTTGTGGAGCGCTTTGGCAATGCCTTCATCAAGGGTGCAGTACCTCAGAAGCAGATGGGCTCAGAGCCTGCATTGGCCTTTGGGGCAATTGGGCAAATGCTGAAGAGGTTGGAGCACGTGACTTCAATGAAGATCCTTCAGCATATCATGGACCACAACCATGATGATGTGAATGTGGATGTCGAGAAGCTCTTACCGAAAGATCACTCAGCAGTCGCCCATGCAATGACCACTTGGCAGCTTGTGCCCAAGGAGCTCAAGGATTTGGAGGACCAAGAGCTCGACCTGACCTTCATTGCTTCCAAGATTGGCTTTTTCGAGTCTTTTTCCCTGGCTGTGGCAAGTCCTCTGATGGATGACCCCATGTTTTCAGAAGCCAAGGACATCTGCCAGAAATATGTCACGTCCTTTCTGCAGATCACTGAAACAGCGCTGACTGACCTTGGAGAATCCGTGCTGAGTGATTTGAAGAAATTTGATGACAAGTATCAGCAGGTCGTGACATGCGCTGAGACTTGGCAGATGGAACCAGTGCAGGGACTTTTTGAGGAAGAGGCCAACCTCGATGCGAAGAGCGACATCGAGCAGCTGCAAGCCTCCTATGACAACGTGATCAAGCTGTGTGAGTCACTGAAGGACCTGATTGGCCATTCATCAACCAATGAAGAGATGAAGCGCCTGATTGGAAAGGCCCACACTTTCATCAAACAGGCTAGTGCCACGAAAAGGTCAGTTGGAAAAACGGCTTTCACACTCATTGTGGCTGCCTGCATTTTGACTGAGAGTGCTGACAGTGTGAAGGCGAGTGTGGACGAAGCTCTGCAGCTTTGCCGCCATGACTTTGGTGTGACACAAGCTGACTTGCCAGGGAAGCTCGGCAAAATGGTGGCAGACATGGGAAGTGGCAAGCCGGTTGGCAAGAAGCGAGGCAACGCAGCTCCAACCGAAGAGGCGAAGGCTGCTCCTAAGCCAAAGAGGGCCAAACCGGCGCCAAAGGAAGCTGACGGGGGTGAGAAGTTGAAGAAGGCCAAGAAGGAGAAGAGCGCGAAGTGATTTGTTAGATTTTCACCAGTCTCCCGCGGCTCCCGAATTTTGTAAGATTTGCGATGTGCAAATTAGGATCCTGCAGATGCACAGTGGGCTCTAACGTTTGTTTAGCCTAGCCCAGCTTTGGTGTCAATTCATCAATTAGTCAACAATACAGCAAGCCAATGCATACATGGTTACATTACACTACTGCTACTACTACTACTGTATTGCCTAGAATTGACATGTTGCAAGTGTTTTGTATTGATGAGGTACATTGATTTTTACTGTTTATGTTTCCCTGTTCTCAGAATTTTCCCTTTTTCGCTTCCTGTGCATTCACTGCGGGTTTGGCGGCTATAGGCTATAGGATTTTGGAGTTTGGGATCTATGGATCTACGTGACAGGACTGACTGTCCTCTTGATCCGCATTTGGAAAACAGTGCGAGCAATAATGTTCAACTTGCCTTTGGTTGTGGTTTGAGCAAGAAGGTCCAAAATGACACCCTAAAGCTGGAACACTGTGTGCGTGTGTGTTTGTGAGTGGTGCAGTCGGTGCAGTGGTGCTGTATGAGATAATTTGTTACATGAGCGAGTGGTTTAACAATAGTAGTATAGTCTAGCATAGTCCACAGTATAGTCCAGTATAGTAACCAATAGTAACAGTTTGCTACAGTGGTTACATGTCACCAGCTAACCCACCACTCTATTTACATGATTAGTTACATGGCCCCAGCTGTATTTACATGCCCAGCGGGCATAGCAGTACCCTGGCCACAGACAAAGAGGCCAGAATTTGGACTAATATATATATCAGAAATGGCTTGATTTGAAGTCCGGCCAATTGGATGTATGTTGTGTAACTGTCCATGTTTCAGACTTTGCCTTGCTTTAGATTCATCCTTCAATGACTCATGGCTGAAACGCAAGCAGCATTGTGCTCCTGTCAATATCATGTTGGATTGTCTTCAGTTGGTGGATTGAGAGATTCTCTTGAATCTCTCAATTATACTACACCTCCTGAAATAATCACGGAAGTGGAGAACCACCTGTTCGTGGAGGAAAATTATAATCCAGGAAGCGACATTTGGTCATTTAGTCTCAGCCGCATTTGGTCGTCTCAGCTCCAAACGCCTGGGGATGGGTGTCTCGCGAGCAGTAGAGCAGGGAGACCCACAAAGACGCACTTGGCATAGGACAAGTAGAGGATAAATGAAACCCAGTTCCCTTGCGCCGGGTGTTCTGGGGAGAACCAAGGTATTTTGGCCCAAAGTGGCATGCTGTGGCCTCTAGATGAGGCAATCCAAGATCGTCCGTGGCTCGGGGATTCTGTTTGTCAGGACTTCACATAGCATCAGAGTGGGCAATGATCACAGCCAAGAGATTTGTTTGATCATGGTTGATCTATTTACCCATGACCAAGGTCTCAAAGCGATTGAGGTGAGACTCCACTTGCTGCCCGATGCTGAGACTCATTCTTATGTGATCGGTGCAGACGAACCCCATGCCCCCAGTAACGGAACGATGACCCCCAGGCGCTTGTATAGAGACGTGTGCAGCACCGTTGGCATTTTATTGGTAGGAGGTGGTGCGAACGAGACATCTAGAACATTCTGAATCTAGAAACCATCAATTAAAAACCTTAAGAACGAGCTGGATACCAAAGCAAGCAAAATGGACTGAATTCCACCATCGGATTCCTCGGGCGGACGTGTTCTGCTCCTATGATGAGATAGACCAACAACCCCTCAGCTGCAATGAGGCAGGACCTGCCATTGCATTTCGTGGCTCATGACCAGAAGATCGACACCCACGTCACGCAGGCGCCCAAGGGTTCAAGGGCGCTGGGAGTCTGGGAGCGGAGCTCGCCAGCTCCCAGTCTCAGTGCGGCGATTGGTCCCTGAAAGCGTCAGTTCCGTGAAGTGAAGGGAAAGAGGCATGAGACGATGAGGCGAAGCTCTTTTCTGGGGTCACCGGCAGCATCCGCGCCTCGAACCGTCCGATCTGCCAGGTGCTGCTCGAAGCATTGCAGGAGGCGGCTGCGGGAGTCAATCGGACCCGGAAAAGCGCCGAAAACTGGACCGGGTGAGGTGACTCAGGGCATCTAAGGGCAGAAGTACCTCTCCAGTTGCGGATGAGCCGAGACAAATAGAATACTTAGCAGATGCAGAGAGATACATGGAGGTAGGACCCGAAGGTGTTGAAAATATGTTCTTATCTTTTTCTTCTCTAGACCATCTCTCGTTTCGTTGCCCAAAGCGGCCAAATGTCTCACACCCGAACCAGCCACGGGATGTCCACCAGCTCCGAAGGTCCACCAAGCACCGTCTTTGACAAGCGTTGCCACTGGCTACATGGCGGCCACGACGGCCGGACGCGGGCGGTAGGGGGCTATGGCTATGGGACACATGACATATGGGCTGCCATATGAGCTGAATTGCTTCAAGATGTTGCTGGAAACTTTGCAAAAGCACGCTCCTTTCATTTTGGTAAGCTATTGCATCATATTGCATCATTGCATATCATTGCTTTATGCTTTATGCGAGTATATAATTGTTCTGTATATACTAGGGGCTGACAGCAAAGACTCAGACTCAATGAGATTCTGAATCGTTGGTCGTTGTTTCAGGGCCACACCGTCCGAAAGACATATCATCCTGTGGCTTCTTTGTGCAGTGATGATACGAGCGCATATTTTTATACCAACCGACTATCCAATAGGTCTTTAGTGAATGTTTGATCTTCCTTAGAAACTTTAGAAGGTCTCCCTATTTCAATACAAATGCACCCTCATAATGCCAAATGTGAAGATACATTGGTCTCTTGGAGCTTGGAGACACGCCCACCTCCCTTCCGAGAGGTGCTGCACAGCCTGGCTCTCGCGGAGGCGGTGGGGGAGTGGCCGACCTATAATGGCATCCTGCAGGAAAACTCGGCTTCAAAAACCAAGTGAGTTGGAAAAATGGTCTTGTGTATTAAGTAAGGAAGGTTCGCACAGCTTCCTAGGTTTGGTGCTGGGTTAAAATACTATTGGACCATTAGGTAAAATGTTCCTTGCAAGATCAACAAAGGAAACATGCATGTACTCGTAGTCAAGCTTGTTGAGGCATGAACGAATAACTTGTGGACAAAAAAGCTTCATTAACTGAGTTGGACCGACACAATCGAACACGCACACACACACACACTTAGATATATGCTCGCAAGAGCTAAGTCAGTTTGGAAACTCCAGCGTTACTGCAATTAGACCTTTAATGCAAGTAGACCTTGGCTGAGGGAACGGAAAGGTGAATGAGTCCACGGCAAGAGTATTCTTTGAACAAAGGTGAGACGTGAAGAACTGGATAAAAGAACTTCCTTGCAGGTACGTAACTTTGGCGTCACACAATGGAAAGGTCTTCGTTGGGCAATGCCTCCCAAAGTGTTCATTGCCCCCCTGCGCTATCTGTACTGTTAAAGGTAGTTAGTGGTGTCAGAGGTCCTTAGAAACAGGACTTGACACACACACACACACAATGAGCCGTTATCGGCGCACACGATAAAAGTCGGCGGGAACGCACAGGCACATGACCAAAAGCCTCATTACCGACCTAAAACGCCTCTAGACAAGACAGAAGTCTAGAAAGAGAAACGAAAGCAGGAAAGAACGAAAGCGGGGGGCGGGGCGGGTGGTGTGGATCGATCGACTAAACAAGGCTAAACTAAACAGCAACCGAACAAGCCTCAAGAAAAGACCTAACAAACGAAAGAAAGCAAATAGAGAAAGGGGATGTGGGGGTGTGTGTGGGGGGTCGTCTAAATCCGGCGCTCCCTTGGCAAAAAACTTTAACCTGCAACCTAACAAGCCTTTAGCAACGACAAAAGACCTAGAAAGAGAAAACCTAGGAAGGAGAGAAAGCAAGACCGTGCATGAATGACTCAGTTTGACTCAAAATTGGAACGCATGTGAATACTTAGCAGCGTGGCATGTCATTCTGTGTCAAAAATCAGGAGGCTCTACAGCATGATAGCAGCAATGTCGAGCAGAACGATAAGCATGCTCGCAACAGCTAAATCAGTTTGGAAATTCCAGCGTTACTGCAATGCAATTAGACCTTTAATGCAATTAGACCTTGGCTGAAGGAGCGGAAAAATGAATGAGTCCGCGGCAACAGTATTGTTTGAACAAAGGTGAGACGTGAAGAACTGGATAAAAGAACTTCCTTGCAGGTACGTAACTTTGGCGTCCCAAAGTCATATCACAACGCAATAGAAAGGTCTTCGTTGGGCAGTGCCTTCCAAAGTGTTCATTGCCCCCCTGCGATATCTGTACTGTTAAAGGTAGTTAGTGGTGTCAAAGGTCCTTAGAAACAGGACTTGACGCAGAGAGAGAGAGAGAGAGGATACAAACCTTATCCATCTTTGTTTGTGTGACTGTGCGACACAGCCGTTTTGGCTGTCAAGAGAGCCTGGGGCATTTCCATGTTTCACAGATCAGACTCTACATGGAAAGTTTAAGGAGCTCATTTACTCTACCTGTATGCCACCCAGGCTGCTTGTGACACCTGCCGTTTCCAGAGAGCTCTTTTGTTTCACCACTCCTTGCATCGATTTGTTCTGCCCCACTTCTGATTTTTGGTGTCTTGTCTGAAAGGTTGGCTCTACATGGCGTAATGCCAGCGCAGGACATGGAAAGCATCACTTCAGCTGGGTACAAAAGAGCTTCTCACCATTGCTGTGCGTATATCATGGGCGCCTGGAAGTTCACCACAGGTCTGAGCAAGACCTTGAAGAGCATGAAAGAGGCAGACGTGCAAGTGAGTCACATGAGGCCAGAAGCGAAACTCCAGCCTGATGCGAGCACATTCCTTCTTCCCATCTCTTTCCGTTTCCGAACCTTTCCCTGGTGGCTCTTCAGCAGCTACTTTCGAGATTATCCGGGTAGCCACTCCGCAGAAGCGGCTGCACACGAGTTGCATCGGCAGAAGAACAAAGACAAAGAGAGAAAGGACATGAGAATTTGAGTGGTCATTGGTTTCAGCGTTGACGACCTGGAAGCAAAGTACTGTGCAGCAAAGTGAGGAGGTCAAGCGGAACGGCGGCGCTCAAGATGTCCGGCAATGTTGCTCCTGGCACTGCCAAGCAGCATCTTTGACATGGAACCAGACCTGCAAGAAACTGAGTATGCCAACGTGGAGACGACTTCTGAATGAGCACTTTGGTGAGTACCGCTTGGCACTCGGAGGAGAGATGTTAGCACTCATTGCACTACACACCACAGAAAACTAGTCCCTGAATCCAGCGAATTTTGAAGATTTGAGGAGACTTGAAGGCGATCCTTCCTATGGCCACGTGTTCGATGATTCGGTGGGTCGCAAGAGGACGCTGATAAAGGAGATTGGGCCAAGGTTGCCCAAACACGGCTTCAAAAAATGCGTGGGCGCAATGAGCAGAACAAAGACTGACCCTTCGAAGCTTTGTGGAGCATGAGTTGAAGGGGCGAATTTCTTTGCCGCGTGCTGTAGCGAAGATTTTTTGCACTCTGATCGAGACAGTCAGCCTTTTGGCTCATGATTGGCGACAGAAACTACAGCGTGGCATGATGCCAAAGGAAACAGGTGCCATGTGGGCTGTTCAGCAGCAATAGCTTTAAGCTGCGCGCAGCCGCTTCGTATCCCAAAGTCTTCTGCAGCAAAGCGCCAGGCGCAGATGACCTTCCCCTTCTTCCTTTTCCTCACCGATGTCGTTGAGCAAACTGCCGAGGCAAGCGAAGGTCCCTGAGATTGGAGCGTTGCAACTGTGGTCTGACACTGTGCCCCAGCGTCGATCAGCTGAACTCTGCGTCTCTTTAGACAGAAATGTTGGGGCGGACTCGTGTGCACAGATCTGGCCGGCTGGGTTGAAGCAAGACTAAAAAGACGTCAAACATGTCCGTACCCAGAGCTAGAATCCAATTTGCTCTATGCTGATTTCATGAAGATTTCAGGAAACTATTCTGTGGACGCAAAACCCTACCAGGAGGGTGCCAATGTATCTCCACCTTTGTTTAACCGAGTTTTTGCTGATTGCAACCAGAGACAGAGTTGACACTCTAGAAGTTGCATGGAAGAATTCTTTCTTTGCTGACCACCGTTTGAAGAGAATTTTCCAAGCGCAAAGAGAACAGGACTCCCCAAAGGGAGACCTTGACCTACAAAACTTTGGAAGAGAAAGAGAGAGAGAGAGAGAGAGACCGAGAGAGAGAGAGAGTGGCAAGGCGAGTGTATGTACCAACCAAGAGAAGAATCCTAGCAAATTTGCCAATCATATCTTTAATTTTTCTGGGTGCAGCAGGACTGCTACTTTCAGTTTCGCATTTGGAAACGTTTGGTTCTGTAGGTAAGAATGCAGCAGACAAAGGAATGCACAACATACAACGATATAAACCCATGATTACATGTTGTGTACCTGAAAGCCAGTGCTTAGAATTACTGTGATTTGAAGCTACGATCGTGATCGTGGAACCATTTTTTCCGCTCAAGTATTGTCGACACATGTCGATGGGCACAGTTTCTTCAACCTTTGGGTCCCCAACAAACAGAATCACATAGAAACACAGTCCACCTCCAATTTGGACATGGAAAGGCGGTTTCCGATGGCCTCCGTGGAAGGAAACCTGAGACATCACTTGGCGTTTTTCCCCCTACCTTGACGTTTGATGGCTTCATGGAACCAGAATTCAAACCGGAGCCTGCCGAACAGGAGTGAGAGTTTGATCATTTGAGATGGTCGGGGTGATCCAATTGTAATCCAGATGCTGTAATCTGACACAGGGCCTCATTGTTATTTGGATGAGCTAGCTTCATGTGTTGGTGAGCACGGAGTAGTTTACCACAAAAAAATATCACTGTGGTTGTTGCCTGCTTCGTGCTCTTGAGCCCTTTCAAGAGGGAAACCTGAGTCGATGGGTGTGACCATCCATCTCGCCTCAAACATCTCGGTGTCAGGAAACGGGCGAGGTCTGCAAATCCTTCCAAGACTTGGCTTCAAGTTGTTTGAATGCTATGCAGCGAACTCAGAGTTTGTGCCCCCTGGCGGTGATAAGAGGTGAGGAACCCAGAATGGGTATAATCAGAGGACGAAGTTTTAGAGTCTGTGGAAATGTGTGGACTATGGATTGCAGTTTTGGAACACAGAGAACACTTCAGTGGGTTGTGAAGATGTGCTGGTGATTTCAAGTCTTTATGCCCTGTTGTGTTGTCGTTGTCAGAGTCGTTGTCGTTCTAGCCATTTTCGTTGCTGGTCAAAAATAGTTGTGACAGCCAAGGAGTTGCAGCCAGGACCGTTGTCCGTGCAGTCATGGAACCTGAAATTGTTGAAAGAATTCTTCCCACTTCCCCCCAGCCATCCTCAAGGCCTTGGGAAGAAGCGACATCCAAGGAGGCACGGACGAGCGTGCGACGCGAAGTCAGCCGATCTTGCCTCTGGGGTTGCTGGCGTGACATATGGTCTGAACTGACAGCTGACCATGTACAGGATGTTAAATTGAGCAACCCTCCTGGCGCCAGCACACCTTCAGTCTCTTGAGAGGTAGGTCAGTACTGCAACACCAATGCCCCAATTCTTGCCCAGGCTTGAGCATTCAGGATCCCCGGCTCATCCATTTTCCAACATCCCGATGTCGCCTGGTCGCTGCATGAGATCGGTGGCCCGGTCGTAGGTTCAGCTACTCTTCCGGTCACCGGGTGATGTGTCGCAGGCGCCACCGGATGGTCACGCGACGCACGCGACGAAACAACGTGTGCGCGGTCGATGGTCGATGAGGTGTTGCTGGCGCCACGGTGTTGCCGGGCCGAAGAATTGCAAAGATCTTCCTTGACAATACTCCCAGGTTGAGATGAGCCCGGAGGCGTGTTTGCAATTATATACACAGGCACAGGAATATAGGTATCATCTATTGTTATCCACCATAATAGTTCTGGTATTGGTTATCACTAGCCCTCAAGGCCGCGTCTCATCTGCTTCTTTGCGCGGCTCGGAGCGTTTTACAGGCGGCTGCGGCGGCTGCACAGAATGCAACGAAGATGCAGGACGCAGTCCTTGGGATTTGGCGGTTTTCTCGATGGTTTCCTTTGCGATGCAAAGTCCGTAGGTGATGCAGGACGTCCTTGGGAGGCTCATCCAAGGGACATAGGGAGATTCTTTCGGCCTCTAGTGTCAACATCGTCAACAGTAGAGCCAGGGTTAGGGGATGTTATTTCATGTTATTTCTTTGGAGAAATCCTAGCGGTGCTACACAATGATATCTCGCAAGGTTTGCAGGGTACTTGGACTTAGGTTCTAACTATATTATATATATATATATATCAATGTCCTGCAGATTTTACCCTTAAACCAATTCTGGGAATGTCTTTATTTAAACCAAAGCTAGTCCGACAGATGTCCGTCAGTTGCCAGATCAGAGTTGGGAGACGTCCGAGAGAATCCCTGGTGGATCACGAATATGACCTGTTCGCTTGCGAAAAGAAGAAGTGCTGCACCATGTTATACCTTTTATGGTGAGGAGATTTGGGGGAGTCTTGTCCAGGTCCAGCCACCCTAAAGGTATATAAATTCAACCGAAAGGATGCAGTGTCAGATCCATGTTTGGGTGATGCACAGAAGTGGTTCCTTTTGCTCAACGCTTTGTGCTGTAATATGATGTAATATGTGTATATTATATCAACTATAAACATACTTTAGATATATATGTGGACATATGTGGACCAAACACGTGGATTGGTGATACCCGGCATCCTGATACCCTCCACCCGTTTTAGAGCGCATGCTAGTGGCGTAGGGGCCATGCTGGCCCATTTTTGCAGCCCGTGCTCAGGACCCACAAGCCCTGGTGGCCCTTTTACAGGTTGGACTCATGCAGAACGTCAGACATGGGTGACACGTCGTGCTGGACATGGCAATCTGGACATGGAAACTCTTTGGGAAAGGTGTAGGTCTGACCAGTGACTGCTAGACATGATAACACCCAGAGTTCATGCATCATTTCTATGTAATCTACCAAATAAATCCAACAGAAGTATCCTACCCACCGCGCCTCGTGTTGTCCCGCCACACGACGCAGGCGGCCAAAGCGTTGTCAGAGCCACAGGCCGGACCGGGACCGGCCCGGACGGTGTGCGGCGGGTTTTTGTGGCCAAGAATAGAGACAGGAGGTGAATGATGGTGAATGGGTGATTTTCCAATATGTGTCATGAATTTCACCCGGATGGCAGTGTTTTTTTCGAGAATGTGGGCTACAAGGTGACGGGTGAGGGGCGCCGTTCGAACGGCGGGCCTGGTGGGTCGTGTGAAGCACAGATCTAGAAGTGTTCTACACGTTTCAAGGAAAGGGCTGATTCCCCCTGCAAAGGGCGATGATCATGAACGATCCATTTTGCAAATTGATCATTGCCCCAATCCGAACCGGCAGAAAAGATTTTAGCTAAAGAGCGGCTTGTATGATTCTATGTATAAAAAGTACATGATGTGTCAAGAAAGTTCCTGCGGCGCCACATCCTTTGGGAAGGTACTTTAGTTGAACAATATCAAGTAAATACCACGTTCCAACACTCCTGACCCGAGCGCTAGGCGTCCGCTGTGGCGGAAGCTGCGAAGGGAGCGTTGCTTGGTGCTCGGAGTGTGTTGAGTTGTGTTTGGAATCCAATTGTAAAAAACAATGTGTTATGATGAGACAACATGTTTGCGTATTATGGGTTAATATGGCTAAAAACAAACATACTAATGATTACAATAACAACAACCATAAATAGGGTATATAATGATATAATTATGTAATATTATGTAAATATAACATGCCATTCACACCAAACGGTGTGTAGGTTTCGAAAACCGACATGGAGTCCATGGAGTCCATCAGGCCGAGTGCAGGGACTGCCGATCCGAGGATTGAGCGTATCCCTGAGATGAAGAATGTGAGCGAACTGTCCATGCTGGAGGCTTTGGAGAAGCACCTCCATGCCACCTCCATTCCATCCTGGTCATCGGGGTGGTCACCGCGGGGTGGTCAGGTTTCTCCATGCCAGGTCTGTGTGTGGCCAAAACCTCGCAGCTTCCCAGTGGAATTGTGACAAGAATAGTATGATTGGTTTGTGTTCATACCCTGCAGGTCCAAAGAGCTAGTAGAACTTGACCCTTTATTTGATTGAGTAGTCTGTTTGTATGACCAACTCCAGTAAAATGAGGTCAAAACTCACCTGTAGCTTTATACGAGTGTGTTTTAAACAGGGAGGAAACCCGAGACGGGCCCCGGGTCGAACCAAACCCACAGGTGACCCACCATGTTCGGAACGAACGACACGGGTCGCTGGTCCCGGTCGTGCCCGATCGGTCGCTGGTCCCACGTCGGCCCGGGCCTGTGGCTATGTCCCAGACACGACGAATGGGATGTATACATACATTGGGGTGGTTGAAGGACCGGGGTCAACTGATCGGCCTACATACAGTCGGTCAACTGATCGTGTCTGGCTGTGGATCGAAGTGATGCGGTCGATCCTTTCGGGGTCGATCCCAACTCGTTTGGATCCAGGCCGCGACTCGAAAGGGAGTGCCAGAGGCGCTTTCGGAAGTGCAGATCCAACTGCGCGAACGCCTCTTGGATGTTTGCTGAACTGATGTTTGGTTTGGGTGCCTTTTGTGAGGATCATAGTGATAGTGTCCGCAAATCAATGATGTGTGTGTCTCTTCTTTGCTTTGCTTGCACTTTGAAATGCCTCTCTGTTGACACAAGAGGTTTGCAAAACCAGCTGAGGTCTGGAATAACCATGAAAAAACGCACACGATGCCGGTGTGACAGGGTTGTTCGAGGTGGCGCAGGATATTGAATCCTAATAGTTTTTCCTGCTTGGATGTTTGGTTTGAATGTTTCTAAGGCATCTAAATTGTGGGATCAGATGAAATGAACATCCCGTATGTTTGAATTCCGCTGATTGTGCATACTAACTAACCTGCTGCGTCACCGCTTAAAGATATAGATTGATATGGAAAGTGAACCTTTTTGAGACCAACATTCTCTTCAAAGGTGCACTGTGTGTCTCCTTTACCAGTATTGTAGCACCAGGAAGACACGAAGAAAAAGCAAGGAGTTTGCACGGAAACCCCCGACGGCAGAGAGGTCAAAAACGCCGAAATGGTCAATAGTTGAATGAGCCGATGCAAAACATATATTCCTCGTATTACAATCTCTTGCAGAACAATTCTTGAGAATCCACATGATCACGGAAGCTTTTCCGCCGGTCAAATCGTGCCACTGGAGCACTTTCCGAGGCCTCCGCCGGCGGCTCTACCGTGCGGTGCAGGAGCGCGATCCAGTCTTCGACGCGCGGCCACATCGAGGCGGCCTCAGATGATCGGGTCAGACCGCTGACCGCTGCAGTCAACCAGTGAGTGCACATGGACAGGATCATTTTATGGTCATCGACTCCATTCTACAAAGATTGAGATGTATGATGGGCAAAAGAGGTGATGGTTTGCGGGTAGTCTACTGTTAGGCATAGGCATTATTGTAAGCAACGGATGCTAACGAGTCTTTCCAAAAAGTGAATGCCATAGAAACCATGATAAACGTAGTTGGTGGCCAAAGCTGTACAAGCTATGTGGATGGCTTGGCCCTGACAGGCTATATCAGCTACGTGGAGAAGTGCATGGCCAAAGATCGCAGGCCGCTTGAGGCAGGTGGGATCCTTGAAAGGATGAAGAGAACTGCCCCAATAAGTGAGAGGGCTGTCAGTGTGACGCAGAAGTCCTTTGTGTCCGAACTACTTGGTGCAAACTCCTTGATAAGCTTAAGCTTTTCTTTAGCCTTAAAAAGGCTAGACGACATGTGAACATTCCATCACAAATGGTTGATTTCCGCACCACTTACTTTTATCCGTGCCCACATGGACTCCCAAATCCTCTTTGAACATCAACATCATGTGCCACTGCCACTTGTGGGGAGCGTCTTCTCATGAACAGCATTTCAGCAAGAAACTCGAATACATTCACCATCCAAAACCATGCGAGCCTCTTCTCGAAAATCTGATGTCCAACACATGTCCAACACCATGACCTCGTCACAATCCTTGATAACCGATATATTTTTGTTTCAATAGTCGCTCAATCCATAATCGCACATCCTTTTTACTACTATAGAAATGTACCATATTGCAATCATGCCCCAGTGTTTTCCAAAACATGGCAGACCGCGACCTAGGGAATATAAGGGAGAAATGGTAAATGCATATTTGTCAGCGACATGTGACCTGATGTGTAGGGAGATTCTACTTCAAGAAGAAATGATGCTTAGGATTAAGCTAGTGAAAGTCAAAGACCAGGTGTTAGGAGGCAGGTCCCTTCCAAAACAGGCAGACTGGACACGGCCAGCCAAAGGGAAGCACCAATTCCTGTCTACCTCAACCAGAGCCCTGAAGAATTTTGGACTGCGGAGTATCCCTCAGGCATTTGCGGAGCCATCCTCTACAGAAGATCACAAGGCGGCCTGCAACAGAACAAACAACACTTGCTTAGTCAAGAACCCGCCTACCGCAGGGAACACGGGATAGGTCCTATCAATGGAACCCCCAATTACTGCTTGAGAAGAGTGGAACCACCATGACCAAGTTGGCTGAATTCTGGTTCCGAGGTGTTTCTGGGGGACTACCAGGGGGTTCCCATCGTACACTCGCTTCCACTGCATGGGTCGGTCCTGTTCCATTCAATTCCACCTTCAGTTGCACAAACCTCCAGTTGGCAGGAGGACGAGTCCGAATTCGCACAAACCCGAAGGAGCAGATGGAGCCTAAAAAGAGCGAAAGGTGAATAAGAGGTTTGATCCTGATCATCGTAGTGTGGGATGGAATAACTCTTCTTTTGCAATTCTATTCAGCGGAATTGAATGATCTAACGAAAGATTCCCTGCCGAGACTTTGATTTAAATCGGACAAATGCATGCTTGAAGAGTTTCGGTGCCCCATTGCTTTGCTCAAACTCCGGCAGTTTCTCATGTATGGTTGGGAGAGAGTTGCGACTTGCGATTCGCTAGTTTACACCAATGGGTTGTGCAGCTAGTGTACAGACTGTGAGCTTTTCAAAGGTGATGCCCACTGATGAAGCTCCAGTTGCATCAGACATGTTGCCTAATGTGTCCCACCAACATCAGTTGAATGAAGGGCTTCCAGCCTTACGATCTGCCAAGGGCACGCAGCCCACAGATGCAAGGCATGACCAGGAGAGTCATACACATCAACGCCGCGTCCTTGAGGCTTCGCAGGTCAAATTGCAGATTTCGGAACAAGACCAAGTGGAGTTTGACGATTCCAAACTTGGAAGCTTCCAGTCATGGGAGCCACCAGAGGGCGAGATCCCTCATAACCAGCGTTTGCCACCTGGGCGGTACGAGCACGAGATCAATGTTATTCGAGTTCTTCGTTTTTCTACATCCGCCAGGAGGCATCCTCGGCATTTCCGGGCGATCATTGGCAGAGCCTCAGACTCCGATGAAGAGGTGAATGAGTTTGGTGGCTGTGCAGGTGAGTGACTTTGGGCATAACTTCGCATCCACAGCGATGGAGTAGAGTCACCAGGGTGTCACATCACACTGGGTGGCCTACTGCACGGTGGACTGAAATGCCGTCATGCTGGGCCAGCTTTTCGCAAGGCCCGACCAATTGTCTTGTTAAATCCTATACAGGCTATATAGGTATAATGCCGACAGGGATTTTGTTGGGGCAGGTGCGTGCGATGTATGTTATTTCTCCGCTACCTGGGTTCGGCTCAAAAAAAAGACTGACAACATACAAAAAAGAACTTAGAAGAACAGCTGTTTTAGTCAGGTTGTACATGCGAACTCTTCACTGTACTATTTGTTGCTCTATGGGGAAGAACTTCGCTTGGGATGCTGCAGATCTCCAATTTTTGGGGCCAGACCCACCTTCAATCGCCGGATGGACTAAACGTCTCCCCAGCCTTCACTGCACCGCAGAGTGGGCAGCTCGCAAAAAGAGATTGTGCGGCCAGAAAACACCAGAAAACTGTGTGGAATGTAATGCCTTCAAAATGTTGTTGGTGAATGTTCTTCCAACTCTTCCAACCATCTTTAAGTCCTTCAAGTGGAAGAGTTCCTGTTCATTCTGGCAGACTGCAAGGAGTCAAGAATCGGAAGTGCGGGATGGTGCGTGGTCTGGGGGTGTGAAGAGTAGCAGCGCATCAGCTCATGTTCTCTTTCTTGAGCATCAAGCAGAATCAAGCATGATCCGATGTCTTCATGACAGCTTGGGCTTTTCCTTGAAAATTTATTGAGGTGCTTCACCGTGACATGGATTTGCTCAAACTACCGATGCTCATGGTGGGAAGAGACCGATTTTCGATGCGCTCATGGGCACTGATGGGTAGCGCAGCTAGTGTGGAGACTGTGAGTCGTTCAAAGGTGCCAACTGATGAAGCTCGTGGCGCCTTGCCCCACCGACCTCAGTTGCAAACTGCAGAGGGACCTGTAGCTTTACAAGCTGAAACGAAAGAGCTGACAGATGCAGAGGAATGTCACGCAAGATCCCGAAGACACAAACTCTTGGCTTTCCAGGTCAAATTGCAGATTTCGGAACAAGACCAAGTGGAGTTTGACGATTCCAAACTTGGAAGTTTCCAGTCATGGGAGCCACCAGAGGACGAGATCCCTCATAACCAGTGTTTGCCACCTGTGCGGTACGAGCACGAGATGAATGCTATTCGAGTTCTTCGTTTTTCTACATCTGCCATCCTCGGCATCCTCGGCATTTCCAAGCTTTTGTTGAACAAACTCCGATGACAACAATTGAGAGGGTGCCACGGTGAGACGAAGAACAACTAGAACACCCTTGATAGGAGCTGAAGCGCTTTCATCGAGTTGTCTTTGTGTCAACCATGTTTCTCTGTGGATGCGACAAGCGAGGAGACATGACGAGACACTTGAAAATGTTTTTGCTTCTTTTTGAGTGCTCACTTTTACCCAACGAAGCTTGAAGGGGCACGTGTAACACCACCCATTGGCCTGCTGGTTGGACGACTTCAATTTACCGCAGGAGTTCAATGGTGCTGCACGTTATCTTCAGCAGTGAGGATTGTCCATGCAAACCAAATAACATCGAACAACCATCAGCTGGCCCCCTGTTTGACAAGAGTGACTAGGAAGCTCATCAAGGAAAAACATCATTTCATTGCCAGATCATCCCCGAAAGGGCCAAAACATCATTGCCAAATCACATGAAATCACAGGTTTTCGCAACGGACTTTTTTTCCTCACTGCTTTGACGTCCCGAGTTTTCTGGTCTTCTGCCAGCCAGTTTTTCCCGCTCAGACTGGAGCCGTTTGATCGCAGAAAAGCCGAACGCCACCGCTGATCGATCGACGGAACGGATCCGTCTGGACGTGGTGATCAGCGTGATGGAGGTGACCCCGCTGAAGACTTCCGTGGACTCTGAAAGCTTTGCATGTCTTTGCAACAGTCTTTCAGGGCACCATTCGACCCGGGTCCATGTTGGTTTTCGGGGTCTGGATGCCTTTTGAGTACTCCATGTGGAAAGGAACTCCTTTACTCAGACTGCTACTTTTTTATAGGGCATCCTCTTTTTGACGGTTGATATGGGAGTACTTCTTGTCACCGTAAATCAATCTTACTGCAGTTGTGTGTTACTCGTACATTTTGAGACTTCCACTTTCACAGAAGCCTCGACTTGCGGGGTGGGGGCTTGGAGCAGGAGCTCCTTTTTAGAATGTGAATTCATCCTGCGTTGCTGATTCCCTACACAACTCGGGTCGTGCCGAAGAGATCGACACGGGGTTCTTCCTTTGCGCAGTGAAGTCGATCACCAGACCGCGCGAGGCTCTGAAGTCGATCCAGGCGCAGCTAAGAGTCGCGGACGGTCTTGCTGAAGAGACTGTGGAGAAGTGTGGGAGCAAGTGTAAAGCATCCATATTCCTTCCAAGAACATCCAAGAACCCTATCATGTCCATTCATGTTTTTGGACCTTGTGTAGGTCCAAGTCATCCCACTGGCAGCATCATGCACCGGTGCACGTGGCAATGAGAAGACCAAATGTACTTCGAGGGAATGCTGAGCCCCCCAAAACCTGAAGGAGTGCACAAGAGCAGGAAGAGCCTGCCTATGGGTTGGAAAGCAAACTCCAAGCATCATCATATATACACATGTAACATATATTCATCATGTTCACAATATGTACATAATCATCACATAGTCTCAGTCCGTCTCAGTGTACGTATATTATGCTATGAATCAGCATCAATCACCATGCATAGCAACTGGATGCTTATATCAACTGGATTTCAATGAATGGTTTGTTTGTGCTGTCGAGTACGGCCGTCGAGTTGAGTCATACCCGACGCCTGGTGCGACCGGTGTGACGCACCGAAGGCTCTCGGCTCTCGGCCGCAGCGTTTGGGCAGAACACACCAGCCACATGCGATGGCAGGGCGGAGGCAGAAACCTCCTTAGCTGATGTAAAACAAGACAACAAGGTCCATAACTACCAGGGATGTAGAAACCCGTATTTATATCACTAACGTCGAAGGAGGCTGAAATCAAAGACACTAGCACAAATTTGTCATCATCTCTACGATCTGCCATTGTGTAATTTCTCAAAAGATAACAGTGAGGTGGATTTGCAACATGATTATAAAATTATTGAAACATTTGTTACACTGAGGTGGATTACAGCATGTTTCAAAAGGGGATGAAAGGGGTACCACTCAACCTCCACGTTTTGGGTTGCCATGGCGCTCCGCGCGTCCCGACGCCTCTTGAGCCGCTTAAGCGTGCGGCCGAACTTTGGGGAGCTGAAGACACTGAGAGTGGCATCTGGGATCAACGAAAACAAACGGCCACACCACGCGTTTCACGAGTCCGGCGCCGCCTTCGATGTTGGTGGGGGCACCGGAAATCGAAATACCATGACAAGATTGAAGAGACCTCCTGACAAGACATCTACTTCCTGCTGGTTCGTATGTTGCAAAGTTCCTGTTTTCCTTTTGACCCAGCAGAGGCAGTGGACAGTAGATCCTTGTGAACCACCAAAAAACCCGAAAAGCCTTTGGGTGAGCACATCAGAGTGGAGGTTCTCCACGGAGATGGTTGGAAAAAACACCGGCATGAGAAATTTGTCCAGCATTTATGTCGTCGTCGTCATCATTGTCCTGTCAATCGTAAGCGTGATTGACACGAGGCTGGTGTACCTGAGCATTTCAATGCTCCTTTCCACCTGGCGAAGGACGGGTGTTCCATCATGTGTTGGTCGACAACTGCCACCAAGAATCGGGGGTCGCACATAGCTGAGAAAAGATTCTAGAAGATCAATCTTTAGTCATTTTTGGAGGCAGGTCAAAGAGAAGCCGCGCTCTGCACATATATACATCACATTGCTGGAATTCAGGATTTTTGTGCTATTGAATGCTATTGGTGATGCAAGTGACCATAGCTCAATCCGGATGGCAACAAGATGCAGCAAGCATCATCGAGGATGTACAATACAATCATTCTTTGGGAGCAACATGTTTCATGTTTACCTGGTAAGAGTTGTGAGCAAGTGTATACAGCATAGTTACAAGGATATACAGGGATATACAGGGAACAGTTGTACCAGTCACCAGGATCATCCCTTAAAGGATTCGCCGTTGACTGACGGATGGCCTTGTTCATCATGAACTGTTCTTTGAGCCACCGCAAAGATGATGGCACCTCCCAAAAAGAATTGAAACACGCAAAATGTGTGTGTCTTTTCTTTTTGGGTGTTCTCGCCCCCGCCGTTTTCGTTTCGGCGGAAAAAGACACCGAAACCGGCGGTACCAGGAGAGGCGTCTCTTTGCGGCTCGTGGAATCGACTTCCAGTGGCCATGGCAATGTTTAATCCGGCGCTTCTTTTGGGCTGCCGGTTCGGGCTTCCGGGCACGCGGGCCTCATGGGTCTTTTTTTTCATGGGAGCAGAGCAGAACTGTTCTGAACGAATTCGCCCAAGCGGTTTTGTGTTGGTCAGTTGGTCTATCATTGATACTTTCAGAATGACTTTCGGAATGCCTACTGCCAGCATGTTCACGGCCGATTCATCCATCTTCAGTCGGCGAGAAAGCCGCAGAGGACGGAGCTTGCAGACCGGTTTGAGGACGTTGGACCGGTAGACCGGGTAGACACGGATGCAGGTCAGATGAGTCTACTTCTGTCTATATGATACGTGAGTCTAAACTAACATCGGCACAATCGGTTCCAGTGGCTTTTTTTCTAGATGTTCTAAGGGAGATTGGGCCATTTCCACTTCCACTGGGCACATTTGTACTTGGGCCCATTTGGCCCCCGGTCAGTGGCTTCGCCCGGACGCCTCGTGGACTCCGAGGTGGGACATGACTCCTCAGGGCACTGGTGCCATGGGGCAGAAGCTGGACTCTGAGCAGGTGCATGGACGGACACGGACGGAGAGGCGACGTTGGTTTCAAGCGCCAGGGTCTGAAGCACGCAAATATGCATGGACTCCTCAAGGCTTTTGGCCAAAAGCATCAAAAAGCTAAGTGTTTGCCCATGTTTGCCCAAAAAAAGTAGTGTTGGGATATGAGCCAGGACCTCTCAGAGGAGTACTGGAAGTAGTAAACCCAAGGCAAGCAGCAGGCTTCACAAGAATGGCTTCAAGCGATTTTTCCGGACATGTTTGCATGGGGATTGGTTTTCAGCTGCCCTTGCCCTATGAATCCTTGGGCCTCCATGGCAAGGGTCGGACCCTCCATAGCAGGGGTCCGGACCCTCAAAACCCTATGTGTTGCTTCGGGCCCGGATTCTTAGGGTGAAACAATTGCCATAGTTTGCAAGATGTTGGAACCAATCAATCGACACATGTTTTAAAAGAGTTCTCATTGTGATTACGATAGCTTGTCCAAGCTGAGCCTCACTGGCCAGATGTAGTTGGGGAGCTCTGAAAACATCATTAGACTCAGCGCCAACAACTGCAGCAGTAGGGCATCTACTAGATCAGACCAGACAATGACCCCATCCACCTGCAAGAACACCCGCACAAGGCATGTGCCAGCATGCCAAAGCTTTTGGTAGCGAACCATGAGCCAAAAGGGCTCGCCACATCGTTGTCCCATGTCAAGGGTGCCCCTCAATCAGCGATTCGTGAACCAGTTTGGGGACAGCCCTGTATTGCCCGACTCACTGACATGGAAGCGCAAAGACCCCTGTTCATAAGGGACCATGGCATCCACTCCCATGTTAGTCCGCTCAGGGTGCATCGGAGGGGGGTGCGGGGGCGTCTAGGCGGGTGCGAGCTTTGGATGGCTAAAGCAGATGTTCCTTTTAAGCACGTCACCTCCCTTCCACGGCTGGTTTTCACTGCGGTGCAGTCACTGACATGACAGTGGGGGTCACGACATTCCAGTGGGGTTACTTCGTTCCAGTAAGGTCACTACGACATGACAGTGGGGTCAATACCATGCGTGGAAGGGTGTGTTTCGTTTTCGGCTCCAACCGGCGCCTCGGACGGACCGGCTCGAGGTGGACGTGGCCGTGATGCTCTCGGAAGGCGCCGTCGCGCGGATCGCGCAGGGCTCCCAGAGCCGAGTCCGGGACGCCAAGGGAGGAGGATGGGATGGCTTGGGAGGAGGGGTGAGCAGAAGGAGATGGGATGGTGCTGGTTTTGGGTTTGAAAGATGATGGGTGTTTGCTTCCATTGTGCATGGCTTTGGATGATGATGCTTTCTGAGTGATGTCGAATCTTCTTTTGGGGGAGTTTTCGCATGAGACTGGTATATGCTGGTTAATGGGCAATGAATTCAATTGGGTGCAATGTTTGACATGATTGATAGAAAACAGGTTGTGGAGGTTCTGATGGTTGCACCTAGGTTGCAAGCCCCTCCGCTGAAATATTCTAGATTCTAGAACCTGAATGACCAGGGCTATGAGCGCTCATGGGCTTCCAATCCCGTTGCAAAATGGCGTTAGTGTTTGCCATTGTTTGCTGATACAATTCCTGATGTGTACCATCTCAAGGATCCAAACAGCTTGTCCAACCAAGCTTGTTGCGGGGATATTGGCTATACGCCCTCATAGAACGCGCTCTTCCTTTGAAACATCTTGGGAATCCTGAATCCATCTATATACTTTGGAAACCCACAAACTGCCTAGAATCAGAGTGACCCCCTGCTTTGGAGCCATGGTCTTGTCCTAGCAAAACAGAGGTCATTTTTGGGATCTCCCCAGATGCTCCGTTCACAGGATTTGTGAGACCCCAGACACTCCCAGACCCTCCCAAGACTTTGGGTCCGAGCCCTCCTTAGGTTCGGGTGCAGGGTCACGTTTGGGTAGGTGGATAGTTTCTAGCTACTAGCGATGCCCTTGCTACTTGCTACTACTAATGCCCATTGCTTGTAGCTTCAAGCTTCTTGTTCCTGGTAGTAATGCACATGTTTCTAGTTCATGCCGCGGAGCCCAGCCGTTGGAGCCGAAGTCACAGAGGTCATCGGCACCTATGTGAAGTCACCCCTGTGGCGCTCTGAGCGTCACCGGTGTCGGTTCAAAGCAGTGAAGCCAAGAAAACACCCCGGCCCGAAGTCTAGAATGAGGAAGGCATCAAGAATGGGGCAGGAAGGCACGACGACTGGATGACATTGTTGTTTAAAAGACCAAACGCAAGCTGTGTTCCAACCAAGTAAAGATCAACACTAGGGAAGACCACTCATGAAAACGCTCCGGCTGAGGCGCTGGGGGATTCACGTCAAGAAAGGCGGGAGCCGCTGATGGGAAAAGAAGTTTTCTGAATTCGATTTGGAGATGATGCTGCCCTTTTCACCTGCACTGGATGCTATTATTGTAGCCAAGCAACAAGATGCTACCCTTCACCTGGA